TTTTTAAACGGTAACTGTAACGGAATACAGTTACTCATATTTTGTATTTTAAATACGTAACGGCGGTACATGTATTCCGTTACTCCCCAACACTGTATGTACCTGTGCATGTTTCAGTGTACGTTTGTTTTTCTTCACAAACATAAACAAAATTCACGTTTTCTGCTCACATTCAGTAAAACAAACATTTTCCTGTTTTTACTTTTGTTGTAAAAAAAGTAACAACATAATCCTGCTTTCCTTTGTCAAAGATATGTTACATCCTCACGGGTCGAAATGACACCGATGCAGAACCACTGAAAGGACACTGTGCCTGTTGCCCCGTCTGATAAGGAAACCTACAATCTATAGTTATTTATATGTGAATAACCAGCATAAGCATGTGTTTTGGAAATGACAGCCTCAGAGACCTTTAGGCAGGATGCAAAGACTGGGACTCTCGACAGAAACGGATAAAAGGGGCTTTTTGCCTGTTCTGGATCAACACTGGCTCTTCTTTATGTGAGAGCTCGTCGAGGGAGGGATTTAATGGGAGGTGGAGGATTGCTGGCACTTCAGCCTCTCCCTCCGCCCTGACTGGAGCTTGGCACCCACCCAGATGAACAGAGCAGGGTCGGGAGAGTCAAATCAGCATTCCTCAGTGTTCCCCTGTAGGAGTGGGAGAATTAGGCCTAGTAAGTTCTCGCTGTAATCCAAGATGTTTTAGAAACACCCTTCTCCTGCTGACACATGCACAAAGTAAAAGAGTATCTTAGATGTGTATGTAGACATGTTTACTCACTGCCTTTTCATCTTCACAGGCCTGATCTGGAACCAGTACAATCATCTAGCACCAGCAGGAACTCTATGATTGCTTTGGGCCACCGGAGTACACTGGACTTCCCGTGGCTTGAGTAAAGATCCGGGTAGTGAAGAGTGCTTTTTATAAAAGACCAAATGATGGTGGCCAGACGACGGCTGTAGCATCTCCAAAATAATAAGAACGGTAGTTTTGAGTACTGAAGGTCTGCTGTCCTCATCGTGACATCATTTCATTATCAGAAGATAAACTGTGACGACTTCTGCAAACCAGGCTGTTTATTTTGGACTATACAGACTCTACACAGCAAAATGTGCAGGTTCCGCATACAGGGACATAAATTATGACACGTTTTTACTGATGTCTTATGTCTTTTTTATTTGTTTATTTGTTTGTTCCTCTTTAAATGCACCAGCATTTCTTTCAGATTTTGCTTCCAGACTGTCTTGTGATTGTTTTAAAGTGTAATAGTTCTCCGCTCAGTTTGACTTTCAAGGCTTTTATTTATGAATGTTTTGAGGAATCAGGAAAAGGGGACGACAAAGAAGATGTAGCAGGTCTAAAAGTCTGCAGCACGTGAACAGTATCTGAAAGTGATGTACTCAAGAAATGAGATCAAATCCAGCAAAGATCTGACACATGACCAGACAGATGCGTCTGCCTCATGTCCTCTTCATCAAAGCTTCATCAGAAACAGCCTCAGGAGAAGGCTGGCTGTCAGGAAGATGGAGGAAAGGCTGAGGTTTGTCACATTACACAAGAACTGGACTGAAGATCAGTGTCAGCGGGTCCGATGAGGGGCTGAAGCCAAATTTGAAGCATTAGTCAAAAGTTAAAACCAGCGAATGAAGATGTGATTGGCTGATTTCTGCCTCACGTTCTCAGTCAAGAAATTACTTTAACTGACTTGTGGCCCATTTCCACTGGCAGCCATATTTCCCATCATGCCTTTTACATGTTCTCTGTCAGGTTTCGCTGATGTTTTATGCTTCGAGCCGTTCCTTTCCTCTGTCTTGTGTTTGTGTTTGCAGAAACAGCCTCCTCGCTCTCGAGTGTGATGAGCAGTTGGAAACTTTGTGTATTTACATTCATGAAGTCGTCTTTTGATTGGTCGTCTTCTGCTTCTGTGAGACTGTTGTGCTGAGCTGGTTCAGTCTTCATGTTGAAGACTTTTTATTTGACTCTCCCGCCTAGTACGGCCTCTTCCACAGCAGCTCCTGTGACCTCATACTGAGACTTGTAGCGCACAGCTACCAAAGCAGGTTCAACATTTCACAGCACGTCCAGTGTAACAAGAGAATAAAACATCATCTGGCCATGAAACTGCTTGTCAGCTGTTCTTACTTTGTTATTTCTTAATGTTCAGCCTCTGCAAATGGGAGATGTAAAATCCTGTCTGCATGCTCTCTGTAACTGTGTAACAATGTCTTTGTCCTGATATATTGTTCTGAAATATGTAACTGTTGCAGAGTTTTGAGCTCTAGATGTCAGTGCTGTCAGTACAAGGTGAAACTGATTCCTCAGAGGAAGGCAACGTTGGTGTGATGCAGAACTTTAACTCAAAATGATGAGCTGAAGACACAAACAGAGCAAACAACACATGAGACATATCTACAGTACGTGCTGGTTTATTGAGCAGAGGATAAGTCCCCATTCTTACAGGAGAAACATTAAATAAGGATTTAGTATCAAAGTTCAGTGATGTCACTGATGACAAATTTGATGTTTTCAGATGGGAGCTTTTTAAATGTAAAGATGAATAACCCAGAACAGTGCTGCGGGGGCCAAACCTCCCTCTGCTTTTTCTGTTACAAGAAGGTTATAAAGTAACAATAATGATCACAACATCCAGCCACAATCATTACAGTTACTACATCCACCTTCTAATGAGAGTCTTGTATATGTGCACATCTGTATAATGTAGCAGAGGAGAATGAATCATTCTGGCCTCTGGTTGAATTATTAATGAAGCCATAATGTGAACCCAGCATGAGGAGCAGGAGGATAACTACAACAGAAACAACATCTGAAGTGGTTTTTAGTCATATTTGAGCTTCACTCCTTGTTTCCCTCTAATCTCTTTATCATTTAAACAGAGAAGGCCAAGCTTTCCTGTTTTAAATGAGGGACTCCCCACGACTAACAATCACACGCTGCCTCTCACAACACTACACAGAAAAGCTCAGGCTACACACAGAGGGATACTTGTTTTTATGCTAAAGATACCATTGCTTCATTTCATTTACACAGCACGTCGTTTTTTTCTAATATTTTTTGAAAATGTTGAAAATCTTTGCAGGTCATTAACAGATATGTTAGTGTAAATTAACAGTTTTGAGGTGTTCAGTCAGCTTTGCAGCAAAGCTTCACTGAGAATTATCACAACGATTCACAACATGTGATCCAATGTTTTCATGTTTTTTTAAAGATCCCTCCCTGGACGTCCCACCTCAGAGTTTAACTTGCATCAAACTTTAACTTCTATTTCAAAACGAGCCAGACTTCCTGTGAGGTGCAGAGCTCATCCAACTGAAGACTTCTGCATCATTTCCTCAACCAACATTTAGGGTAAAGTTGTACACGGTGAAAAACAAACAAAAGATGGAATAACTGGGACTAAAGCGAGATGTGACATCAGCTAATCCCAAACTTTGGTGTTGAAAAGAGCAACAGGAAAACGTTATCCTCAAGCAGTCATGATGTTATTCTTCGAAGAGAGGCGGAGGAGAGAGTTTCAGCTGGAAGCTTTCTGTTCCCAGCTGGACAGAGAACAGAGATCCTGTTTTCTCGTGGCAGTGGGAGACGTCTGAAAGGATGGACAGCTAGGAGAGAGAGAAAATACAGAAGAAAAAAAGATCACGGTCCATCCTGATGCTCACGTGTCATTGTTGATGTTGGTGGTGGTGGATAGCACGCCACCCTCGCTGGTCTGCAGCCTGACTGCAGCTCAGCAGGTTGAGCGGGTCATCATCTACTAATCACAAAGTTGGTGGTTTGATCACTGGCTGCATAGTCTGCATGCAAATGGAAGATGCTAAAGCACAGGTTGCATGGCTTTGGGAGTGACTGGGCGTTGTTAGGAGCCCTCAGTACACCCGCAGTGAGCTTGGATTGTGTCGTCAGCAGTAAGTCTGCAGCTGAATTTCCAAGAGATTCTGTTTTCCTGTTGGACTATTATCAGGGACACTAGTCAGAGTAGGTTAGATAAGTATAATTCAAGTGATTTGATTCTGTTTTTATTATCTTTGGGTTGTGCTTTAATAAAATATCATCCAAATAGTCTAAATTGTGCATGTTCCTTTTTTAACCCTTTGTGAAGGTAAACACTTGAGTATTAATAGAGTTTAAATAGCTCTTACAGTTTACTCCACATTTCTAAGTTTAGCCCCTAAATCGACTGAGTTCAACTGAGTGGCTTAGCACTGATCTAGAGGGGGGGCTGATGAATACTGGGCCTGCAAGGCAACTCGGGGTTCCTCCCAGTGGAGGAGGGAGGGTAGACAATCAGAAACCAGTGGCCTCGCTCATCAACTCCATCTAAAGTCTGCCTGCTGACCCACAGAAACGTACATTAGGATTAGATAAACGGGGACTTCCTGTTTCGGGGTGCTGGTCCCACAGATGGACACACCCTACCAAGGCTGCTTCAGCTTCTTTTATCTGTTTCGTGGTCCAAATGGCCAAGAAACTGCTTCTCAGTCCGTCCAGTTACTTCTGAGCCTCTGAAAATGTAGTTTTGTGTAAAAATAGCTACAACGTGTAAACAGCTGATGCAACATTTCTGTCAGACAAGCCTGCACTTCAATCACATCTTGATTGTTTGACACTTCAGAGCAGTACACAAGCACACACACTCACCTGTAGGATCACCTGCTTGTGTTTCTCGTGGCTTGTGTGTATTTGTTTTTGTTTGTACTGCTGTTGTGTAATGAAAACTGTTTTTAAACTATAACAAAAACAACGAGCACGGCGTTATATTAATTTCAGCATCAGTGGAATCTGTCGTGTCTAAATGAAAACGTGCTCGTTTTAATACCCTGGATGGTCCTCGGTACAAGCAGCGGATCTCATCCCAGGACTGCTCCTGCTGAAGGTCCAGTGTCGCCTCAGCGAACACCTGCGTCACATGAACACAAACAGTCTATTAAGATGGAAGTTGTTACATATTCTGTAAAAAGTGCAAAAATGAGAGTAATTTAGAAAGAAACCAGAACTGACACATAAATATTAGTTTGATCAGTCTCACATTGGGTTGATGAGACTCGTGTTAACTACAGAATGCTGTTGATGTTAATGTTGACATTAAACTACAAACTGAGGCTTGTATAGAATAAGTTGTGTACAGCGATCGCTCCATGATGTCAGAAACAACTCGTTCAGCAGAGACAGACGCCACAGCTCGACGTCCTGGGATCACAAACCTTCTTCCTGAGAGCCGACGCTCCCGTGTCCTGGCGTGCTGATGTCACGTGTGTCTGTGGCACAGAGAGGGACAGCGTTGTTTCAGCCATGTTAGTTTCAGTAAACGTTCCTCATCCTTGGACTCAACAATGAAATCAAAACAGCAAAGTTTGGAAGTCTGCCCAACTCCGCCCATGTCAGGAAATGCAACATCAGAGCATCTGCTTTAATAGGATGTCCCGCCAAACGTGTCATTTAAATACAGACGTGTGGTATCCACAGAAACAAACAAAACCATTTCAACAACCACCACACAGATAAAACAGCCATTAAAGATCAGGTGAACAGATTCCACAGAAAGTCAACACGGACCGCCGTTCACCAGCACGCACACGCACATGCGTGTTACCACATCGCACTCTAAAACCGCCGGTTTCGTCACTCGACGAGCAAAACTCATCAAACCAACAGCAAAAGACGACACGTGGAAAACATCGTCATGAGTTTATCTGCGCTGTCATGCTCCCACCACAATAAAAGCCCACCAGTGTCCCATCAAAGGTCGATGGTGGTTCTGCATTACTCGCTTTTATGAACCAGTCAGCTGTTTCGTACAGCTGCTGTTCAAAAATGACCTCTGACAAGAAAGCCTCGTTTCTGCTGTTCAGTACCAAAGAAACTTCAACAAATTAACCAATTCTCTTTGAAAAGCTTCTGTTTTCCACTCTCTGCTATAGAAAGTTGTTTTTTATGACTACAGTTTAAAAAACAAAACAAAAACTGGACCGTCTGAAGTTATCTGTACTTTTATTTCTTACAATTTAAATCCAAAGAGTCGTGCTGATGGATTCCTGTCTTTTTCTTCATCGTGTAGAAAAACAGTTAAATATGTAACGTCTTCACACTGACAGAATGGAGTGGGCTGTAGGTGGTCGCCCATTTAAAATGAGTGTGACACCCCTGCTGTGTCCTTTCTTATTGGATTAGCTGTTTGGTTTTTCTCCTGCATCGACATCTCTGTGCCAAAGGATCAGCTGCAAGTTCAGTACTTGGAATGAACACCAGAGCTTTAATCAGCTGTATTTGCAGCACAACAACAGGAAAGAAGCCTCAGCTAGCCATGAGGCTGTGGGCTGTCCGACAAAATCGCTTTAAGCCACTGAAAATGGGAGACAACAGTTAATGCTACACTGAACGTCTGCAGGCATATCTGTGCTGTCTGATCCCACACAGCCTGAGTCATACACGTGTTCATGAACATGTGAGCACGTTTTGCTTTAGCTTGTTGTATTTTTGAACAAACGTTCTATCAAAGACACAAACTTGTATCATTTCATGCTGTTAAAGTACAGCACTGACATATCTTCTTTCACTGTCACTCACACACACACACACACACACGCACACACACACACACACACACCTGTGCCAGAGACGTGCTACGGCCTCTCTTCGGTTCAGTGGAAGGCCCGACTCTTCCTCCGTGGATGGCCGAACACTTGTAGCACCTCCACTGCCGCTGCAGCTCTGACGCACAGCCCCACACACAGTCCTTTTGCTGCAGGCACTGCAGGTGGTACAGGTGACCACAGCTGGACAGACACAAACATTCATAAACAGTCATTTTAATGTCTACGGATCAAGTTCCATTTAAGAAAGCCTAGTGAGGGGATCTGAGGGGAAAGTCTTCTAATAATGAGCCATCACCAAAACTTCGGCACAATCTGGATCAGAGCAGTGTAAAATTCATTCAGTAGACCCAGTCTGCTGTTTGAAATGTCTCATAGGGTCTCTGCTGGGCTTTAGCATCACGTGGTTTGTATTCATACATTATTGCTGATGTGTGCATTAAGGCACTTCAGGTCATTCTGACTGGCTGTTAATGAAGATCACTGACTGTTTTCTCCTCAAGTTATTTGGTTTTCCTTCTCCCTCCCGTCATCATAACCGGTTGCAGCAGATGGCCCCGCCCCTCCCTGAGCCTGGTTCTGCTGCAGGTTTCTTAGGCTACGTTCACACTGCAGGCGAAAGCGCATCAAATCCGATTTTTTGACCCTATGCGACCCATATCGATCATGGTGTGACAGTGTGAACGGCACAAATCCGATATTTTCAAA